TAAAACATTTATATATAATTTTTTTTTTTAATATATATAATTTATTAAAATGCTATTGTAATACATTATTGTAATTGTATATTATGTATGAACAAAGTAGCATTTTATATATAGTATTATTTGACTGCGCAATTATTATTATATTTGTTTTTGATATTTTTTTATAAGAAAGTAAATGGAGTCAGCTGATCAGATGCTGATAGTTTTTATCATATGCTGAAATCATTGCGTTCGATTTAGGCGCAGACACCCTTATCGAATCTAAAGATAAAAGCAGTACCACGACAGGTGTGAAGTATGAAATTACTGATACAAGGACATTTCCGGAAAAATATGAAATCATAAAAAAGAAATCAAAGACAGAAAGACGAGGTGAACCAGGCTCTTATGGAAGCAGAATAATTTGATAGTGACGTGCTGTGAGACTCCGAGATGCAATTTTACAGCGCTTTATGAGCAAGCATCTGCTGAGCCGTTAAGTGAGAATTGTTCTATAGGCAGAATTAGTTTTTTCCCCTTTTTCTCAGTCTGTCTTGTCCTCCTCCTCCTCCTGTTTCTTGGATTTCAGGGATGTGTCGTTGTCACTCAGCGCTGCCGGAGCTCCGTGGCACTGTGATCGTTCTGGGCGCTGGAGACACGGCCTTCGACTGCGCTACTTCTGCCCTGCGCTGCGGCACCCCTCGTGTGTTTGTGGTCTTCAGGAAGGGCTTCACCAACATACGAGCAGTTCCTGAGGAGGTGAGAACTCCTAGATAGAATGAAAGTGAGATAATATCAGAAAGAAGACTAAATATATGCTTAAAAGTAAGGGTTTTAGCATAATTTGGTGGTACATTGGGTTTGATATTTTGTTATCAGTGCCAGAGATCAATTTTTTTTAATCCCACAGACCTCCAAATATTATGATCTCCCTTTCTAAAAAAAAATGTCTTTATTATTTTACTGTATATTTCCATAATAAATAAGTCAGCTTTTTTATTTAGTTTAGTTCTCTTTTGTTTTTGACCAAATTTTCTTTTAACTTTCCTAAAGGCTTTCTTTGTGACCACAGTTTAAAAAAAATAAATCTGCTTTTCTTTTAAATTTTCCGCAGACTGACTTTGCGACCACAGTTTGAAAATCCCTGATCTATGCAATTGAATTCATATATTAAATGAAACCACTGTTTTATTATTAGAAATGTATTATTTATTTAGAAATATTAGATATTACATATTATATATTAGAAATTTGAAGAAGTTAGTTTCAAAATTACTATTATTATTTACACACATGCATTGTTAGGGTCTCTAGGACCCCAGTTGAACAAGTGGGATGAAGCATCACTTTTCAGAGAATGTGTAGAATATAATTTTTCATTTAACGTACATAAAAACTTTTTTTTTTTTAGAAAGTCTTTTGTAGAGTCCTAAGTGGAACCTTTAAATTTAAAGTTTGTTTTGAATTCATTTTTTCTTCTAGGAATAGAGGAAAAACGATAGCAAGTAGGAGAAGAGCAAGAAGGCAGAAAGTCAAGGAGAGTCAGGAAGTGAGAAGAAAGAGAGTCAACATCAGGCAGCAGAGTGAAGCTTATTAATATTTGGTGTGAGAGAAGTGTGAAGCAGAGATTTATGAAGAGCTCTGTGAGAGTGTCCTCTCTCTCTAGACCACTGACACCGCTCCTAAGCCTTTCCACTCTCATTTATTGCAGACTTGCCTTTGCTTTCAGGGGGAGATTACTGACAATTGTCCTACTCGCACACAGGGCTCTCTGGTGAGCTGTATACCCGCTTCCACTCTGGTAATGATGCCAGCCGGCTAAACGTGTCATGATCCGCTCCATTTAGACAAAGCTGTCAAATATGTGTGTCAGATGTACTGAGGGAACTTATTTTTTTCACCATTATGTTTTTGAGACATGGCTAGGACAAAGTACCAGTCCATAAAGTTGTCTTTCTATATAAAAAAGTACACCATTTTTTGTTTAAATATTAAAAGTACTAAATGCAGTGCCAGTGTGCAACTGTATAATGTCTGATAATCTAATAATTAAAAAAAAGTTTTTTAAACGGGTAGCCCCGCCCCCAAATTCACACCATTGGTTGAGCCAGAGCAAAGCGGCACAAAGCCAGTAGTCGTCTCTGTGCATTAAAGTGAAATTATAAACTATTTTAACACTGAAACAATTACACACTTCACCTTTAAGTCTGATTCACACATTGTTCTTCACATCACCCACCACATTAGGATAAAGTACGGTAAAGTGCAGTAATTATTCACATCTGTTTACACTCTCCAGTGAAGACGCTCGCCTAATACGGCCGCCATCATCTTCAACTCATTAAAGCTGTTTATAAGCTATATTAAGTTTAAGACTCCTGTAGGCATACATAATCAGAACAGAGCGCTTGACTGTGCATTGACGTGAACTGAGACAATTTATGGAAACGTAGTAATAAGAAAATAGAATTTGTCACCGTACGACTACATTCCTCCCACTGGCCCCCTCTACGAAGCCAGTGGGCTTCTTTTAGATGATTCAACCGCACTTTTCATCAGTTTTTTTTTTTTTTTGGTGTAGTCTGAGAGAAAATCTTCTGTAAACTTTCTGATGTGCTTCCACCAAGCCAAGTCGCACTTAATGTCTTTTAACGAGGTACAGCTCTCTCATAATCATGCGCTTCATTATCTCATGGCCAGATAAAAGACGGGACCTTTGCTGGTTGTTGTTATGTGCACTAACTTTGCACTTGTTCAGTTTTAAGACCAGAAACATACTTAAAGGAATAGCTCACCCAAAAATGAAAATACTGTCTTCATTTGCTCTCCATTGTGTTGTTCCAAACTTGTATGACTTACTTTTTTCAGTGCAACACGAAATATGAAAAATGTCTGTTTTTTTTAAGTCCTTACAGTGCAAGTCAGCGGGGTCCAAAGTTTTTTTGACCATGTTGACATCAGAATATCCTCTTTTGTGCTCTGCAGGTGAAAAGAGGTCACACTGGATGAGAAAGACATGATGTTGACTAACGATGACAGAATTTTCTTGTATCAGGGGTCAAATGATGCGATTTCAAGTTTTCCTTTCTCTTTGGAGTGTTACAAGCTGTTCATAAATAGATAAGATCCCTAAAGTTGCAAAGACTAAAGTCTCAAACCCAAAGAGATATTCTTTATAAAAGTTAAAATGGTCCACCCCTCCTAAAACGCCTCGTTTGAAGATTTGTGGTAATGTACAGTGTAATATTGTACACACACACACACACACACACAAACACACACACACATACATACACATATATATATATATATATAATTTTATTTTTATTTTTATGAATATATAAGATGCAAATGTTTGGCCAATGCACTGTACGTGTGCATATCTGAGTACTAAGGAGTGGTCAAGTTACCTTCAAATATCTTAATTTATTATTTAAGGCAGCTTTTTTATATTATTTTATTTTATTCTGACCACAGATATATTTGTTTGGCCAACACACTCTAAATATGCATTTCTCAGTACTAAAGGCGGCGGTTAACTTGCCTGTACCATTATGTGTGATGTTATTCAGTTAGCTAGCTATTAACATGTCATCAGCTAACTAAGTTTAACTAATTTGCTCAGCAACATTCTCTTCAAACTGTTGCTCCAGCATGACAGTAATTGAGCTGAAACGAAAACAGACCATAGGCTAGGCTAGGTTCGTATTAGCTCACTGCTTACTGTATACTGTGTTCTATACACTGTATAATGCATGCTTTAAAAAGTAGAACTGTGTGTGAAACCAGAAGCATAATGGAAAGATAATCATTTCAAACAATAGGCCACACAACCTCAATTCATTGCATATTTGATTGTGTAAAATTTGCACTCTGGGACATGTTAGATATTTAGTTCAAAAAAATTGTCAAGCTAGAAGAATTTGTACGTGAGTTCTATTTGTTTTAGGGCCTTAATTGGAGGCTTTATGTTGTGTTTAGATGGAGCTGGCCAAGGAGGAGAAATGTGAGTTCCTGCCCTTCCTCTCTCCACGTGAGGTGTTGCTAAAGGCAGGGCGGGTCCATGGAATGGAGTTCTGCCGAACTGAGCAAACAGAGTCGGGTCAGTGGGTGGAGGATGAGGAACAGATCATACGACTAAAGGCCGACTATATCATCAGTGCTTTCGGCTCTCTGATGAACGACCCCGCAGGTATTGTATGTTCCTTATTACAAATGAACACAACTCCTCCAAAATTTGATTATTTTTCAAGTAATGTTCTCCAGAATAATTACAGTTTAAAATATGCAGAGCATTTGTAATCAGTTACTTACCAGGTGCTATTTTAGTCAGGATGCTTCCTATGTAGGGAATAGTCACTAAGCATTGGAACAGACCCGATGTCTCACAGTAAATTTAGTGATTCTGAACAGTGTGGGTTGGACTGAGGCTTATTATGCTGTAAGTAAACCCATCAGCGCTCTGAACGGCTGCCATTTTCAAGTGGATGAGGCCCATGTTGTTGGTGTTGTTTCAGGGATTTATTCATTTGATTTAGGTCGAATTAGCTTGGCTGTCTTGCAGCACCAGTGTTCTCCGATTAAGTAGTGAAGTGTACAAGGGTATATTTGACCAAGTATCCCAGTCCCCCACTAATAAACTTTCTCCTTATCACAGGCAGTCTGGAAATCAGCAGTAACTTTGCAGACCTTTTTTATGCTCAAACAGCAACATTACAGACTAACTAAAGTTGAAAAAGTAAAAAAAAAGCATAATAGGACCCCTTTAAAGATTGACCATATCATACACACATGTATATACAAAGCCATATTCTATTATATTCTGTTCTATTCTATTCTATTCTATTCTATTCTTAATTAAAATAGCATTTTATAATAAAACATTACAACAAAACACATATCAGATATAATTACAGTTTGTGTATGGTACATGTTGATATTATTAAATAACTTTCTGAAATCATTAATACATTATATAATGGCAGCTATAACTTCATTTACATTGAAATATGAGTTTTCTTTTGCTTTCATATAATATTATTACATAATATAAAACTGTTTTACATATAACAATATTAATATAATATGATAATATTAATTAAATTCATATATCATAGAATATTAACAGAAAACATTACTGGTACATTACTTTACAATTTGTATATGGTACATTTTTAAATATGAAATAACTTTCTTTAAGTCATCAAAACATAATGGTAGATCTATTACCCCCCCCACACACACAGTAAAAACAAACAAAAAAAAGTAATGGTGGCTTTATTAGTACTACTATATCACAATATTTACTTTATTTCTCATAAATGTGACTATATCTTGCAATTGCAAATTTATATATAAAAAATTAACCTTATTTCTCTTTATAGACATCTCTATCATAGTTTTTACTTTATTTCTAGTAATTGTGACATTATATCTCACAATTGACTTAATTTGTTTAAATATCACAACGTAACTTTATATTTATTTGAAACTTTATTTTACCCTTTGGAAATGACCTTTTTCTCTATGTATATTCATATTTATTTATTTATAAACATCAACACTTTGAGGCAAGTCAGAGACTTAAAACTGGTGTGTTGTTGTAATGGTATTTAGATTGTATGTATTTGTCTTTGATGGTAGTGTGGTGATGAATGGCGCTGAACGAGTTTTATTCTGTTTCCAAAGGGAAATCATCTTAAAACAGAGTGTGAATGGATTAGTATTGAGCTCCTGCAGTCAGCCCTCTGGGAGCAAACGCAAGTCATTACCGCACAGTTACAACTCAAAATTATTCCTGGACGTCTTAGTGACGTGATTACAGGGTGAAGAGAGAGACCGGTGTCAGAGTCAGAGTCACCATCTTCATTTTCAACCCGGATAATTATCTGCTCGCCAAGTCCCTGAACTGTGACCAATAGCAGTGTGCGAAATGCACTGCATTTATTACCGATGTTAATTACTGTACTTGTTTTTTGATTCTTTTCTAACAAATTTTAGTGTAATTCCTCTGGTAAACTGAAGCAGTTAAAAACTGCTGCTAAATACTGACTTGGGGTTTCCATCCGATTATTCTCTAGTACTGATAGATGTGGTCAGGCACTTGTGATCACAGCACATCATTCAAGTAGTTAAATGAACTCAGTTAACAGTTGATTAATAATATAAATTGTTACAATTCAATCATTTAATAACTGTAATCATCAGACCTGCTAATTATTGGTGGGCTGCAGTATACAACGTGTTCATGGCAGATGACAGAGCAGAACTTTTTCTAACATGATTTTGAAGTCCACTAATTAGATTAGGCTGCTAAAGGGCAGACCCGCTATGATTTTCAATTAGGGTTGCATTAAAAAAACAAGGTGTAATGTCACCAGAGAGACTGTAGTGTCCAGAGCTGACTGGAGATTACATTAATTCACCATAATGAGATCCATCCCACCCACGCTATGAGTTTACTCACTGACCAGCCTGCAGTAACAACACAAATTATCTCAAACTAAAAATATATATATATATATATATATATTATTTTAAGTTTTGGTACATAAAAAGTACATACCGTTTGTGACTGTTGAAAAAGTTTCCTCATGGGACGCTTAAAACATGTATTGATGGAGTTCATGTGTTGGCAGGACTTTTACATCACTTTCTGGGCTTCATTTCAAAACATTTTCAACTAAAATTGTACTTTTGTAACTTTTTCAACTAAAATTTTACTTTTGTAAAGAAATCCCATGTCTAGGCAGAATTTGTTTATATCTACAAAACTAATTGCAATCAATCATGATAAACATTCATGATGAAACTTTTCAGTCAAGTGTGCCCAAACATATAAATAATATATAAATATAACATATAAATGTTTTTGTAACCTGGTCATGCTTATGTCTTTAAAGAGTATATTATATAATGATTATGTGTTTAAATGCATTTTGCATTTTGCCTAATGATGAATAAATAAGTATATAAGTATGGTTGCAATTATTATATTTTAAAAAAACATATGATTGTCCATGTTTAGGTTTATTAAGCATTATTGAATATATTTATTCAGCAAACATCACCACAATGCAATTATGCCTGGATAGACTGTAATATTTGCCCTTTCTTCGGTCCTATAATTTCTTAATTTTCTTGCATGTAATCCAAGTTGTTTGTCCTCACCTTGAATTTAGCACCTCCGGTTGTTTCATAAGTATTATTGGCACTATTGTACGATGTCTGACCTGCTCACAGCATCTGTGGAACATGTTAAACATCAGGAAAGGTCTGCGCAGCAAGAGAGGGTTATCATTATTAGCAATTACTCTACAAGGTTAATTAAAGCACACCAAATCACCTCTTAGCAGGAGCAGGAAATAGTGTACTTGACCGAAAGCCAGCTAGTGTAATTTCGCAAAGAGATTTTAGGGAGGTTATTGTGTTTGATGAGGTTGTTGTGCGTTTGTGTGTGCGGTTGTCTTTCGGTTTAATGGAATCAGATGGTCTTGTTCAGACATGCCTGTGTTCATCTCGATTCCTATTTTTGTCATCTTAGTGTACTTCTACTTTGCAGATATTGCGTTTTGTAACATAAGCAACAGCCAAAGTTCTGTCCGCACTGTACCTTCCCTTAGTGCTGAGGGATGGTGTTTTTTTCCCCGTCTGTGCTCTTTCATTTAGGAAATATGAATTACTTGCCCACTCAAGTGTCTCATCAGATTGGTCTGGCCGCGGCCATCGAGGGCTGGTACCAGAACAGCTGACATGGCTAGAAAAGTTGGCTGGTAATCTAGCAGGCCTGCCCACTGGAGCTAACAGTTGATTTGATCCCTCGCCACACTTGGCTGTTTTTTCTTTCCATTTTCTTTTTTCCCCATTTCTTCTTTGTGATGGAGTGTTTTTCATCCGGCTCCTGTCACTCCAGCCAAGGCTCCGCCCCCACCTACCTGCTCGGCCGAATATTCAAACATCAGCATTCCATTAATCACACTCCATCAGCGGTAATGAGGCCGCTTGCTTTCTCCGGCACAAGACTGAACAGCAACTTGCATTTGAGCTTGACACAGTCAAACACAAGGCTTTATGCATTGAATTTCTTATATTAAAAACCAGCAAATTAGAACAGATTGAGGATACTTGAAAATATTGTCATTATTTACCCTCATGTCATTCCAGACCCATATGACTTTAATTCTTTTGTAAAAACCTAAACAGATCTTTTGCAAAATGTGTCTAAATATGAATGTTACAAGACTGTCAAGTGCTAAAAATGACCAAAAAAATGCACCAAACCATAACACTTCCTCCTCCACCTTTCACTGACTTCTTTACACACTCAGGGTTCAGTCTTTCCCCAGTTTGATGACGAACATAATGTTTCCCATCAGACCCAAATAAATTAAACTTGTTTTCATCACTCAAGTGAACTTTGGACCAGTTCTCCTGTGTCCACACGACATGCTCCTCGGAAAAGGTGAGCCTAGCCTTTTGATTCTTTCTGTTGATGAGAGGCTTGGTCACTGCAGAGTGGGCTTTCAGTCCAAATTCTCTTAAACGCCGAGACTGTATGCTGAGACAAATCCTTACCCTGTTCAGCACTGAACTGGCGAGCAATTCCAGCTGCAGTGTTGAACCGATTGCCCATTGAGATTCTTCAGATTATCTTGTTCTGTCGTGCATTTGTCTTACGTGGATGACCTGCCTTTTTAATAGACTTGAATGAATTAGTGTCATTGTAAAGCTGCAATATTTAAGAAATCACAGATTTGAAATGACCAACTTCTCTTGCAGTGGCTGAAAGTGTCATCCCTTTGACCTTCATCTGGAGAAACTGCTGTTGCAGGCTTTCAGTTACTTTAGAGCAGCCTGTTGTCTTGCAATCAGTGAAAATTGGAGGAATGCTGCCAGTTAAATAGGATTTGTCATATAATTAAGGAAATTAGCTGCAGGTGCCAGATTAAAGGGGTCATATGACGTTGCTAAAAAAGAACATTATTTTGTGTATTTGGTGTAATGAAATGTGTTTATGCAGTTTAAGGTTAAAAAAACACATTATTTGCCACATACTGTACATTATTGTTTCTCCTCTATGCCCCGCCTTTCTGAAACGCGTACGGTCTGAAAAAGCGAGGTGTGCTGTGATTGGCCAGCTATCTAGAGCGTTGTGATTGGCCGAATTCCTCAAGCGTGTGACGGAAATGTTACGCCCTTACCATACTGTGATACCATGTACCGGTGCGACGAGACAAAACAAAAAAACCCCATTATAAACGTGGCATTTGTTGCATCCAGTGGGGACATAATTACTGATTATAATGACTTATACTGTCTTTTTACGCGTTGTATTGCATCGCACCGCGTAAACATAAAACCATGTCTGCATTTGTGATCGGAGAAATGACAAAACAAAAGCACTACTCTACACTGCCCAAAAAAACTCGCGTTTGAATCGTCAGTGGCAAATTCTTTAAAGGGGTCATATGATGCTTTTTTAAAGATCATTATTTTGTGTACGGTGTTATGCAAATCTTCCCACACAGTGACGTAGACATGTGGGGGCGTGTTTAAACGGGGCATTTTAGGAGGGTGTGGACGAGCCTTAACTTTTATAAAGAATATCTCTTTGGGTTTGAGACTTTAGTCTTTGCAACTTTAGGGATCTTATCTATTCGCGAACAGCTTGTAACACTCCAAAGAGAAAGGAAAACTTGAAATCGCATCATATGACCCCTTTAACACCAATAATTTGAAGGTATCTGTAAGTGTTCTCTAATTTTGATCAGAGTTCTTTTTCAATTCTCATTTAAGTTTTTATACTGTGCTTCAGAATACAATTAATTTATGAAAAACTGCCCTTCGACTCCTGTTAGGATAACTTCAAATAGGACTAAGCAGTGACCTTGAAATTTAGGAAATTGTAGGTTGTTCTCTACTAATTTTGATCTCCACTGTGTGTATGTGTGTGTGTGTGTATATATATATATTTCTTTTTATTTATTACTTTTCTCCCCTGGGAACTGACTCATTGTGTCAATAGCTGATCGGCAATTCTTAAAAAATTCTACTTTTGTTTTCCACATTAAGAATAAAAGCATACAGGTTTAGAATCACATGAGGGTCAGTAAATGACGGAAATATTATTTTTCTGTAAACTGTCCCTGTAGTTTGTTAAACCAACTGACTAACACTGAAATTTGTGCTGTTGCAGTACAGAACAATGGGAATGTTCTGATGGAATGATGACTATCCTAGTGTGCTGGTCCACAATCCCCGTCCTCTCCTTTATCCAGTGTGGATTCCTCTGCTTAATGGACCCATTGCAATTTGCATCTGTCGGTGAGGAGAATGCCCATGGGTAGAGAGAGAGCGAGAGAGAGTTGCTGCTTTACTTAAGAATGATCTCTGAGGGCTGTGAGAGGCCTGACACACTCTACTACCTCTCCAGAGCAGACAGGAGAGAAAGAAAAACAACTCACTGTTAGCATCTCTGTGTGGATAAGTGAGGCTGTTGAAGAGGTCTAGACAATTGCAGATAACTCTAGACATTAAAGGGAGATAAAGGGGAAAAAATAATAGAGAAGAACAGCAAGAAAAAGTGTTGACGATCAGGATTACAGGCACAGTGTCAAGTGTAGGAGCCAATCTCTCTTCCTCTCTGTCTTTGAACTGACCTGCCAGCTCACTGGAGGATATTACAACTTTGTTCTTAACATCACTTCCCTTCAGCCGGTCTCTTTAATCGCCCGCAGGAAAATCGAAATCTTAGTTATGAGGAGGAAGAGGAAAATTCAATTTATTTTTACTTAGAAGTATTGGGTGGGCTGTGGTGTTTGGAGTTTGTACAGAATTCTGACTTTCAGTGTTTAGAAAATCTGATTGTTGGTGTGCATGCTTGTTGCTTTCTGTTATTAAAGGAGACATATAATGGAAAACAGTGTGTAAATGATTTTGATATACTGTGTAAACAGTCACCAGAGCATCTGCACTGTTTATTAAAACTAATATTCAAAAACTCTGGTCCTTCAGAAATCATCAATGATGTGACATCACACTCTTGAGCAGGGGTCCAGAATAGAATAGAATAGAATTTGTAATGCCTTCTGCCTTGGTATACAAATAAGGATTTTTAAATCTCTAATTTATGTTTAAATGAGTGCTTTATTATATTATATTATATTATATTATATTATAATACTTTGAAATAATTTATAATTATTTTCTACAGATATGTTCTTATCATTTCAGGTTGTATAAAGTAACATCAATTAATGTAATTCTTCCATGACTGATGATATTCTGTCATTTGTGATTGAATAACATTGTCCAATATACAGCTGACTTTTTTACTCAATAAGGAGAGAGAGAGGAGTTCCATTTTTCCATAGTAATCCTCATAATGTGCAATAAATCTTGGGCATCCTGTCCTTAGATCTGTGTTTGTAATTTTCTTCATTGATAAATGTAGTATGCGGTCTATGCCGAGCAGCCGTGCCTTTAGAAGATCGATGGTGTGTGTTCAAGAGAGAGGAGGGGTGGTCATTTCAGAATGTAGATCAGTTTGACAGACTATCTTCCGGCTAACGTTGCTAACAGTGAATGAAATGCACCAGGAGATGTTACATTAACCTCGCAAAAAGAAAAAGAAACGCCAGTGGGGGAAAAAAGCTCTCGTCATTTGTCTTGTCAGTGACTTCGTATTATTTTCTTGCCATTTCCAGTCTATCAGGTTTTTCCTTTTCTGCAGGTCTTTTTCCTTGTTACCTCTTTCCTCATAAATTTACCCTTTTCTTTATCAGTTCTCTCTCTCTCTTTCTCTCTGCAGTGATCGAGGCCATGGCTCCCATCAGGTTAAACAGATGGGGGCTTCCTGAGCTGGACCCAGAGAGCATGCAGACTAGTGAGCCGTGGGTGTTCGCTGGGGGCGATGTGGCCGGTCTGGCCAATACCACCGTGGAAGCAGTCAATGATGGGAAACAGGCCTCCTGGCACATGCACAGATACTTACAGGTGCTTTTCTTTCTTGCTTTCTTTCTAGAGTAGTTGAAAAAGGATTCAGGAATAAAGTTAAAGGGATAGTTCACCAAAAAATTCAAACTGTCATCATTCACTCACCCATGTGATGTACCAAATCCATGTGGACATGTTTTACACAATATCAGAGCTGCTCTTTTCTGAATAGTGAAATACCCTGCTATTCAGACCATTAAGCTCCAAAAATAACACGCTAAAAAAAGCATCTACATGACTATTGAACTATAATCCAAGTCTTCGGAAGCCACACGTATTTGTGTGACGGAAAAAAAAAAATCTTCCTTTACGCTGTAGCTCTTAAATCTCATTCGCACTTCAAATGTATTCAAATGTGCTGTAATTGATCATGAGATGCACACCAACCAATGACGTTTGACTTTATTGATGTATCGTGATGCATCTTGCACAAAAGTGCAAATAAGTTTTGAAAGAAATTGAAATCAATTTTAATTGAAATCAATTTTAATATTAAATATATAAATAAAAATGTATATCAGTTGGACAAAATGTCTTTTAACCTTCCTTGTTGATGCTAAAGAAATGTGAAAGATGCAAGTAACTTGCATTTACGTGTGAGAGAATATTCAGCAGAAAATATTGGAAAACTAGAATTTGATTTATTGGATTATGAAAAGCAATGTATTAATAGATTTATTTATTTATGAATAATAATTGTAATTTTATTAATAATATTTATTTTCATTATTTATGTGTGCTTGTTTTTAATAATAATAAAAAAGTACATGTATGTTTGTTTATTTTATTAATGTTTAGTTATTTATTTATTGAGGAATTTTTAATAGACTTTTCTGGATGTCATCATGTAAGAAAGATTTTCAGCATATAATGACTTTTTATGTCTGCTTTAGGTCTTTTTCTATTGTATGAGATGAAATGAGATGTATGAGACTATTTTATGCTTTTTTGTTCTTTTTGGAGCCTGATAGCCCCATATTCACTTGTTTTGTATGGAAAAGAACCTTGCATTTGTATTCCACATAAAGAAGTCATATGGTTTTGGAACGACATGAGGGTGAGTGAAAGATGACAGGGCCAGGGCAAGATGAGGTTATACAAGCTGCACACATAATAATTATAAAATAATTTAAAATAAAAGAAAATGCCATTTATAATGCTCTAAGATGGAGTGTATCATCACACTGCAGGACTTTGCCGTCCCTGCTGTGAGATGTCATGTCAGCTGCCCAAATGACAATATTGTGTCACCGTAAACACACACCCAAGTTCATTTTCTCAACAAATCCACATTTGAAAACACTTGTTTTTGTTCTGATGAGACGGAAACAGATGTTGCCCTGATTATGTCCCGTGTTAAGATCACAAAACCCAATGGAAAAGGAGGATTTGCAGTGCTGATTAATTATGTAGATGAGGGCTTTACATTCTCTCTACAAAGAGTGAGCTGTGACACCGCTGGATACAAAAGCCTCTCAATATGAGTATGTTTATGAGTAATCAGAGCACAATAAGGAATAAATTAGCTTTATAGCAGGCGGTAGGACAATGGTCTTCCTGTGGCTTCACGCGGCAGAACCGCACGCCGGGGCCACACAGCGAGAATGCTGTTCCGCACAGGATTATTCCGTAAATCTCACCTCAGAGGCACCGGCGATACGAGCTTGTTCGGCTTAATTAGTTTGCTACTAGCAAAGTAACTGTGGAGAGTGAAGGAGGGAGGTCAGGGAGAGAGAGAGGGCACTTAGGATTGTCCCGTTAGCTGAGCCAGATCAGCCTGGGCTCTTGAGAGGAGCTTATGGAGGCCCCCTGCCTGTCAAACACACACGCGCGTGCGCGCAGACTGAGACCCTGCAGAGACATCAGTGGCTGTTCATGCTGCTAAAGCCATCAAACCCATACACCAACAAAACCGTCAGAATCCAAGCTGAAATGAAGGAGCCGTGACGTTGTATTATGTAATTATCAAGATATATGTGACAAAACACTGACTGCTTGCATGACTATATGACAGTTTATTCTTGGGCAGATAGCAATGAAGGCGGTGCGTGAGTGTTTTGCATCACAGATGACTGAAAAGTCAACATGATATCAAAAATTGCGGAATAAAAAATGTGATCTTAATACATGTTCCTGGACTTATTTTGTATGATTATCAGTGCATGTTATTCTGAAGTTTAAAAAAAAAAATCTCTTCCTACCTTACTTGTTGTTGTTAAGTAAATGTGAATTAGATGTAACCTTTGTAATGTGTCTTATATCCATGCCAGATAGAATATTGGAAATAATGATCTGGACAACTGGAATTTGATTGATTGGATAATGAAAAGCAAGTTATTTATTAATAATATTTACTTTATAATTTTTTCTTGTTTGTTTTTAATAATAATAAAAATCTTTTTGTTTGTCGTGAGATGTTTATTTATTTGTGTTTATTTTATTGTATTAATATTTAATTTTTTATTATATTATTAAATAATGTTTGTTATTTTATGTTTGTTTTTATTTTAATAATATTTATTTAGTTAATTATTTAGGAATTTTTATACTTTTACACTTTTTCTGGATTTTAGCATTAACACATTACAACATGATTAAGTTGATTATTTATTATTATTATTATTATTATTATCTCTCTCTCTCTCTCTCTCTCTCTCTATATATATATATATATATATATGTAGTTTCATCTCAGGTAGTTGCTCATATTTGCTCATAATTTCTCATTTTAATTTAGTTTAAATTTATGTACTAAAATAAGTTAAATATATAATGTGTGTGTGTGTGTATATATATATATTTACTTAATAAAAACTATAGTAATATCCCAATGATATTAAAATAACACATGTATTCATATGTAAGACCACTGACAATGATTTAGCAAGTTAGTAAGGTTCATTTTGATTTCATGTTGTTTTTAACTTTTGACATTGTGTAAAACATGTTATAAAATACCAGAATCATAAAGCCATTCCTGACCTCTGCCATAATAGCATTAAATTCAAAGTAAATGTCCCGTTGAGTGCTCTAAGATATAAGGGGTTATGCTCTTGAAGGTACTGTATTTGACCTCCATATGGGGGAATCTCACGGTTAAGTGCAGTTCTTCTCCAGCAGTGGTGGATCAGCGAGGGGTTAATAGTCTGTCCATGTCTGTGGCCAGAGCAAAGCAGAGATAGCTGTTTACTTGCTGATGAAATTACCATATGTAGTGTTCAAGGGAAGGCAACAGATTGCGTTGTTGTTTTTACGGTAATGAACCACAGCTGAGGGAACCAATAGAGTCATTTGCAGAAAGGTTGCAAGACTAATGTAAGAACAGCTCTCAGATCAGCTCAACAACAAGTTCCACCTGAGAGCTCTGAGGTGTGTTCATGTACTTGTCCCTAGGCATTTAATATTACTCATGTTTTTTAGATATGTTTCATAAATTTTTCAATAAAATAAACTAGATTTATGTTTCTTCAAGGAAAGAAAAGTGCTTGCAAATAAAAAAAATAATAGTTTTAGTTTAAGTCAAGTCAAGTCAAGTCAAGTTTATTTGTACAGCGCTTTTCACGATACAAATCATTGCAAAGCAACTTTACAGCAAATTAAGTTTCTACAATATTTAGTGGTAGCTTATCAGTGGTGACTGTCAATTAATGTACATATGGCAGAAATGTACGGAAAAATCAATTTAAGACGTAATAAAACAGATGATGAACACTATTAACAGCAATTATTATATGATGCAATCAAAAGTTGGTAGTTCTGTATGTTGTTTCAGGGACGATGAGTGGGCCCGGTGACGTATTGCTTGACTCCAAAAGAGTTTATTAGGTCAGTTTAGTTTTTAGGCATTGCTGTTGCTGGCTGTCTATAGTCAAATAGAAGGGACTCTCCGTTAACTCTGAATCACTTGATACTTTCGAAGCTTTGTTATTTTGCTCCCAGTTCGTTGTAATTACATGGAAAAAAGTGACTAACACAGTCTTCAGTCCTTTTTTGTCACACAGCTTTGGAACGACATGAGGGTGAGTAACTAATGACAGAATTTTCGTTGTGCAAACTATTCCTCAAATAATCACATTGTTCTTAAATCTTAGTGGTTAATTACCTCAAGTGCTTCTGAAAAAGGAAAAATCAATAGCGTATCATCTGCCAAAGATCTATCTGGTGTACAAAGCGTTTGACAATTACAACATCCGTCAGGGCCCAAGTGGGTTCAGGAACGTCCCTCGGCATTAGTTGTTTGTCTCGGGTGTTTTTCTCACTAGATTCCTCTCTTTCCCAGTGACGAGGCCTCTCTGTGGAGGATGTGGGCTGTCATGTTCCTGCTCTCGTTTTCTCTTCACTTGACACCCCCTCGTTCATTATGCGGCTGTGACATCACCACAAGGGCAATCATACGTGTTTGATAAACGTGAGGCTCATTAGAGAGAGAGCTGATGTATGACTGCTATTTGCCGCTTTTGTGCCACGATGTGAAGAGATAAACAATGCTGCGGGGTTTCGCACAAACACACGCCGCTATCTCACTCCGATCATCTGCTCTATTGTAGCCTTAAATGCACATGTGTGGCGGCCCACAAAAGCGGAGTAACCTTCAGAAACCTGCATTCAGAGCGACTGCGAGCTTTCCGCCAGGCTTTGGAGCTTTGTCTGTGTGAATGCTGTCAATTTCCCCTCTCACAAAGTAGAAAATACCTTAGATGAAGTCTTACACGTGTGCTGTGATTGTTTGTCATTACAGTCCATCTTTGGGCGGACGGTCAGCGGCCCACCCCAGTTGCCCCTCTTCTACTCACCCATAGACACTGTGGACATCAGTGTGAAGATGTGCGGCATCACGTTCCCCAACCCGTTTGGGCTGGCCAGTGCTCCACCCACCACCAGCACCACCATGATCCGCAGGGCCTTCGAGCAGGGCTGGGGTTTTGCCCTCACCAAAACCTTTTCGTTGGACAAGGTACTTAAAACAGCGCACATAATGCACATCAAACTATAGTGTTTTTTGTTTTGGATTTTCAAAAGAGACAGAGTAAAATTGTATTGTTTTTCATACCTCAGGGTTTTCAAACTTTTAATGCCAAGGACCCCAGATATGACAATCCCCATGTTTGTTAATAAATAAACATATTTATTTTATTTAAATATTTCATTTTAAATACATTTGCATGTTGTTTTTATTACCATATTTTACTATATTCTTTATTACTATTCATTACTAAATTTTTATGTGGACCCCGTAGCACTTTATTTATTTTATTTTGTTTATTTTATTTCATTTTAAATATATGTTCATGTTGTTTTTATTACTATAGTTTACTATATGCTTTATTACTAATCATTACTACATTTATATGTACGGCCCCTAGCACTCTGAGGGCCCTTAGACCCAGTTTGAAAAAGTGTTATTTTAGTATTATTTATTTAGTATTGTATTATTAATTCATGTTTTGAATTAGCTTTTAGTTTTATATTTTCAGTTTTAATTTTAATTTTAAATAGTTATTTAGTTTTTCTTATATTTCTATTTAGCTTTCTTATTTTAGTTTTAATAATTTTAGTAACTTCAATTTATTTATTTATTTATTTACTTATGTATTTAATTGTTTAGCCAAGACAGCATTTCTATTCAAATTTTATTCAAGGTTTTTTATATTTTAAATAGTTTCATCGAATATATTTAAATTTTATTTTATTTAAGCTTTATTTGAATCGATGAAAACAAATTTTAATAGTTTAACTTTTAGTTATCAACACTGGTTTGAAAATACTTGGCTCAGGAGATTTAATTGTGTTCTCATTTAATTTAAGTATCTGCATTGTCTCCAGTGTTTGTCCTCAAATTCCTAAAAATAATTACATATCAAATAATTGTTAACATGCAATAAGAGCATTGATCTGTAACATTAAAGTAAACATGAAACAGCATTCCCTATTTTAATCCCCCCATTTTAGTTTCGATATCTGATATATTTACATTTAAAACAGGATATTTGATATGAAAAATGTAGGATGTATGTTGAACAAGACAGTAAATAGGGTCAATTTTGCTTTAATGTTAACCAGCAGGTCTAGGAAGAATTTGATACGAAATGGCATTGAAAATGTAAATTGTTTTGTTTGCATGCTGTGATGTCATGACAGATCTGAGCATTGATTTGAGATCTCTTCTGAAACTTCAGACGAGACACGTGAGATTACAGGGCCTTTTTCTTAAAAGCATGTCTCCATTTAATCACGTTTGTCATGTGAGCTCTCATTTGTGTTCTTTCTTTCCTTCGTGCTTCATCCAGTATCTCCGGTAACAACAATTATAGTGTATTTTTCTTAGACTCTTATTTGATTGAATTAACAGATGAATCTGTCGAGAGAAAGGTGATATGACACCGTGATAGATGTTATTTTCACCTCCTCTTTATTCTGTGCTTAAAGCCATTTAAGTGTGATTATGATTTGTTATTATTATAAATGTTGTCGCTAAAATGAACATGCACTCAAATAGTTTTAATAATTTTTTTTCTATGATAAAGAATCAAATTTGGCATTAAAAAATAGCAGTTACAATTCAAAAGCACTGTTTTATTAACTTGAAATATTCTCTCTTTTTAGCAAAGTCAGTATTAATCAGGAACATATGTTTGTTCTGTGTTGGCTGCTTTCCACTCATTAGCAGCACTAGGGATATTAAACGAAAATAAATAAATGCTAAATAAAACCCCAAGATTAAAACTGAAAGACAAGCACTCAAACTCGTAATAGACATCGCTATAGTAATGCAGGAGTTCCATATGCTACTGACAGGAGGCAGGAGCGGGAAAGATGGAGTCAAATTGTTTTTTCCGACCCATGGTCCTCGGCACTCAGCTGTTTTCAGACGGTGAGGGACAGCATGTAAAGTGTGTAAATGATGTTTCTCCTGCTCTGATGTGTGAGTGAGCGATGTAGCTGTTCCTGTTTTATAGACGCCTGTCACCTGCCTCCATGTCTGCTTTTATAAACTGCGCGCCGGCCCTTCGGAAAAGGTCAGCATTTTATTTCCAGAGACAAACGGCAGTGGGAGGGAAGAGGTGGTGCAGGGGCATAGCCATCATTTCAGAAGTGAGGGGGACAGAAATGTCAACTGTATTTTATTTGTTTATTTAAAAAAAAAATGTTGGTATAATTGACAGGTTTTATTTTTTTCTTATCTCTTATTTTTAATTGGCTAGGAAATCAAATAGCCTACACTGCTGGACAATAACCAATAATTTGTACGATAATTTTTTTTCCTATATTTTCCTAATGACAATTTTATGATTGGTTTATATACTACAAACACTTTTTTAAACTTTTATCGCAGAATAATGCGGAAAATATATTTTATAGGTTCTATACTGTAATAAATGATAGGCCCAGTTAGCACTGCATTATTAATATATTTTATTTTTTACCTGGAGATGCAAAACACTCATGGACCATATATTGTCGCAATCGTGTATTCATCATCTTCAAGTTTCATAAGTCAAAACGTTTCTGTTTTTTATTCAGCTTCGCTACAGCAATAGCTGGATGCCTTTGTCCATATTAGGGATTTCCTGGCATGTCTTAAATGATTACTTCTATGAGTCCATTTTGGACTTTCTGTGCGAGAGCGCCCTCCTGCTTTGAGTATGAATGAAACACTACAGGAGAGGTAATGTTCACATCAGAATGCTCTCATGTTCACATCGCCTCGTTTTAGATACGAAAAAAACGTCAGGCCAATCATAGACTATCTTGTCTCTTTGCATTTAAATCTACATTTATTCACACTGGCCCTTTAAAACATCTTTGTGAACACACTTGCCTGAAAAAGTGTTGGGGACGAATTTACATTTTCTTAAAAGTGGGGGTGGGGGGGCACGTCCCCAACGTCCCCCACGTATTCTACGCCCACGAGGTGGTGAGAAACGTGTTACAATGGAAGCTGGAAATTGCACCCGCGTCGGTTTACCTTGGGAGCTAGGATGTTTTGCTTAAGATCACATTATCTTCCCTCTCCGACAACCTTCTTTCTTGACTAAAAGAGGAAGTGGACGACTGATGGTCGGCTGCAAAGTTGTCTGTGTGAACTTCGTAAGAGTGGATTTTTTCCCCCCACCCCCTTCTCTCTCTAGTCATGCTTTACTCTTGACATTTGTAGATGCCAGATTGGGCTGTAATACACTGTTGCATCTATTTCCCGCCAGCATATGCCGAAATACCACCTGATATCGCGATAAACAGAAATCATATAATTCTTTATTGTGTGCTCAGTGGGAGAGATTGTAAGGGGGCTTTTCTTTGGGGGAAAAAGATAAAGAAGTTCTTAATGTCAATATGAATGAACAGCCGCTACACCACTATCACCCACCTTAAACACAAGGGATTTCTCTTTTTTTAATATCCTGTGCTTTATTTTTTCACGCCCGCCCCCCTATCGTAACATTACCGCCGCATGCTATTGATAGAATTTGAGATGCTTAGAGGATTGTCTTCGAATATGAGAATCTTCACGCTTCTGGGTCTCGTCGTTGTGCTCGGCATCGCTAATTAGCTCGGGTTGCGCACTAGACCAGTGGATAACTGCCTAGCAAAGCTCTGTGACCGTTAATTAGGATTAATGAACTGTATAGCATATGAAAACGTGTTGTTTTCTTGCTACTCCTTTGAAAAATAGGGCAAAGGACGCCATCTTCCAAATAACCCACTGGCATTACATCCATTTTTCCCGAATGATTTTTTTTTTTTTTTTTTTTTTTTGTCACACCAAATACTGGATTGTTAGATGTGTGATTGATACATTTGGCCCATTTCAGACAGATTCGTTACAGATTCGTAGGCTACCTCCAGGGCCGAGGCCAAGATCCGAAGGCAACTGAGCCCAATTAGCTTTTTGACTGGTCAAGTCTGGTTAAATCACACCTGTAATTGGAGCTAACCTGATTATTGGCAAAGGCACCAGTTTGCCACCAATCAGCTCCTCAAAAGGGGCCTGTAGGTGCTAGTTTTAGCCATTGGCTTTTATATATTTGTGCACTAATAGTTCCTTTGTGTCTTTCACGTGAGATTTCCAGCACTTTAACCTGTAAGAGTAAGAATGATTGCTGTTGACCCGCTAGACTTGCGCCCACCATAGAAAGCTCTTAAACTCTTTCACTTTATCTTGCAAAACTTTCTCCGCACATCAGTCTATTCTTGAACGTGCCTTCTCACCTCGGCGTAGGAGGATTTAGTGGGCAAATCTGAATGAACTAAATATGAAGATGTATTAAGACGGATTCTCAACTTTTTAACCGCTGTTAAAACAAAAGAAATGGCACGGGGAAGCCGGCACACACGCAAACACACACACACATTTACTGTACATCTCAGATCGAGGTTTTTAATTTAATGAGAAATGTTGGATGAAGCTCCATGGTAACACAGATGAAGTGTGATATGTCCCATCACCCCACCGCACACTATTGTCACTTTCTCTCTCGGCATATTCTGCATGGCTTTATATGTCTCTCTGCTAATTAGCAACCAGGATTTAATCAACTGCAGCATTTTTATCAAGAACAGAAAGGTTAAAGGTCGCAAACCTCACACGCACACTCACAATACACACGTACACACCCTCTTACGGTTTGAGTGTTTAATAGGTGGCGCTGGTAATCTGTAACTCTGTAAATGAGCATTTCGGGTGCAAAAGGGCTAGAGGTCCCAGGGTGGGATAATGAGATATTCTGTCGGTTTTGTTCTCATCAAGCTTGTATCTCACAAGCTTGTATGTCTCGGTCTGCTGTGAAATGGACTTGATTTTTTATTTATTTACATACAGTATTTATATTCTGATATGGATCTGCCATGTTTATAGCTTTGGACTTGGACTTGTTTTTCGATGAATATTATCTTAGAAAAATATAAAAAAAAGATTGTGTGTATATATATATATATGTATATATGTATATATATTTT